ATGAGATAGGACAATTACAGCAGTAACAGCAGTCGTGGCCATAGCAGTGGCAGCAATAATAGCAGGTATGAGGACACCCAAAGTCTTTTCGAGGGAGCATGTTTTAAAGCATTGTTAATTAGTTCAAGAGCAGATTTTCCAATTTACTCATGGGCAAGATTAACTGGCAGGCAGACTTTAGTTTTTAGTTTCGGAGTGAGCACATGAGTAATGTTAAGGTTAGTGATGTGATGATGAGTGATGCAAGGGGTTAACCATGAGGCGTTGGCATGAAAGGTGGTGTTAAAGCCTTTAACCCTTTGTTGGCTAGAATGAGACTCAGTTGTCACTGTAATGTTACCTTAAGGCCTTTGGAATTTATGGTGATGTAAGCTAACATTAATAAGAACAAATTTTCTGGGGTCTCAGGTGTCCTGTGACCTTTAAAATATTTTTGTGTTTTGCTCGTTAACTTTTTAGATCACCCCAGGTTGGTCTAGCAGGGTGTTTTGTTGAGTCCAAAAGATCCATCTTTTTTCTTTCTGTCCCCTCCTGGGAGGTGGGTGTACAGCAAGTGTTTGAATCTCTGGAACAGGGTTTTTTCCTGTTTGATGTCAACTCATGATAAGGGTGTACAGCCTTTCTGATATCCAAAGAGGTCCTGTAGGAGACAGAACAAAAGCATACCCTCTGCCCTATGTTAGTAACTTAACAGGTTTTAGCCAATTTGGTCCTTGTAATATATACTTGTAATATATATATATATATATATATATATATATATATATATATATATATGTATATGTATGGTCGCGGGGCACCACTGACATTTAAGTTCACCATACTATTCCATAGTAAGTCATTTGAGCACACAGTTTTTTACCAAAAATCCCTCTTTCAGACCTTCAACACTTTCTTTCGCTTTCTCACTTTTTAATACCATATCATTTTACCCCATCTTAAATCATTGCAAGGACCATCAGATTATCCATTTTTAATATATTTCTTTCCTTTTAACACACACACCCATTTTATTTGTATTTGGAGTTACCACACCTTAGTTTCCAGTTTTTGTTTTTGTACATTTGCAAGACATTATAATAGCTGTTATACTATTATTTTTAGACTAGACAACTTACACAAACACATCCTTTACACTAAGGAGCAAAATGTAAATATGAAAGTTCAGTAAATGATTAACAATTTATTATAAGCATTAGATAGATTGATTTAAAAAAAAAAAACAAGAAAAATCAGAAGACTTAATATCATATACATGTTTGTTTTTTGCGGCTGAGTGGCCCCAACCGGGGTAGAGACATCCCAGATCACAGGGTCGACAGTGGAAGGAGACAGCATGTCCTGAGAAGGGTTAGGAGATGTTTGGATCAGTGGGAGGATGAGAGCAGTGCTAGGGTCTTGGAACCATGAGAGAGTAGCCCCAAGTTTGGTTCAGAGGTTGTGACCCAGGAGTGGTATGGGGCAAGAAGGCATGACTTAAAAAGAGTGAACTAAGGGCTTGTTGTCTGTTTGGCAAGGGATAGGTCCAGTAGCCTGAGGTCGAGAGGGTTGGCCGTCAACTCCCATAACCGAGATCTGAGAAGGATAAGTCTGACTCGAGTAGGAGGGGAGGACAGAGAAGGTAGCCCCCCTGTCAACCAAAAAGGAGGTGGACTTACCTGTTACCTTGACCATTACCCTGGGCTCCTTGAAGTTTATCAGGGTTGATGAGTCTGGGCCTCTTCAGTGCTCAGCTGCCAAACCCAAGACCACCAGTGGCAGAGTTGCAGGGGCTGAAGGACTGGCTCACCACGGCCAGGTGCGGAGGGACAGTCACTTTTCCAGTGACCCTAGATACTGCAGATGGGACATGGACCTGGTGGAAGGTGGGGTTTGGGGCAATGTTTGGACCAGTGGCCCTCCTGGCCACACTTAAGGAAGCTCCCAGGGGCTGTGGGGCCCATTGTCCTCTGTCAGGCGGCAGGTGCTGCATTGTAGAAGCAGCGCATGATGGCCTCAACGCAGCCACTAGGGCCTCAGCCTTTTGGCGACTATGGGTTCTCTCTATCCATCTTGTCCTGTTTCTCCCAGTTGTTGAAAACCTTAAAGGCATGTTCAACAGGTCTAAGATATTAGGGAATGACTGGGATATGAAATGGGTGGCCAAGACTGTGGTTCCGCCAGGTAAATGAGGGTCTAGCCTGGTATATTAGTGGAGAGCCTCAGTGAGGCGGCTTAAAAAAGCTGATGGGCTTTCTGACATGAACTGGGAGATTTTCCTAAGCTTGTCAAAGTTTACAGCCTTGTGTGCTGTAAACTTTGTGTGCTGTCGGAGACCAGACAGGAGGCAGGTAATAAAACAGTCTTGGTGAGAGCAGGTGTGGCAGCTGGGATGTGAAAGGGGGGGCTGGATTATGTGGGGGTTGTGGATGGAGGGTGGTTGGAGGCAGGTCCCAGGTAAAGTGGGGGTCCCTGAGGAGCAGAAGGAGGTGAAAAGAATCTAAAAAATCTGAGAAAGTGGACTACTGGTCATTAGGCAGGTTTTTTTTTTTTTTTTTTTTTTTTTTTTTGAGTGTTGGAAGCTGAGCTCCTAGAGGGTGGGGAGTGAGAGGAATCTCCAGCAAGGAGGACTTGGAAAGTGTAGCAGGTTTTTTGAGGGGAGGGCTGGGAGGGAGGGACGGAAGTGCATGAGAGAGAAAGAAACCCTGGCCATAAGGGATCTCTGACCATTTTCCATCGCAGTGACAGAAATTGCTTAGGTCTGTAAGGACCGTGAAATGGAAAGTGTCGTGTTCCGGCCCTGAGAGCCTTTATCCAAGTGGTATTGAGGCCAGGCAGTGTTGCAGAGAAAAATGTATCACTTAGGGTATATATCTGGCCTTAGTCCCAGTGGACCGAGGTTTGAGAGAAGGCACCCCAGTGGAGTAACCAGATCAGGCTTAGAATTTGAAGACCCCATGGCTAACCCAGCTCCTTTTCCCAACCAACAGGGGGCACAGTGTCAGGATGCACTGTCCCATAAGCCTGACCTGACCTACAAGGGGCACAGACCCAGGATCATGGCATCCCACAATTAGGTTCTGGTCAGCAGACAGGGGGCAAACTAGTGAGGGGGATGTCTCCACTTCTCAGTTGTAGCCTACAGGACAGGAGACAGACAGATGAGGGGGACGTCACCACTGCTTGCCTTGCCTTAAACTGGGCACCTAATCTGGATGGGCATCCCAAATACAGGTCGAGGTATAACAGGGGGTCAGCTGACGTGGGCCCACAGTTTACAGGCCAGCCAACCAAAACAGGGAGTTAGGAGAGGAGCCGGATAACCAGAGGCGAGGGGCTACTAGGAAGGAGGGTCAGACAGAGGACTTACCCCGAGAATCAAGGCTGCTGGTGGACGTGAGGCATCTACAATGAAAAGGAGAGGTCCCAGGGACTGGAAGGAGGCCCTGGCACCAGGGGACACAGCCTTCCCGGGTTTCTGCACCAAGATGAAAGGATTGGTGCTGTAAAGAAAAGGAAAGCTGGGCTGTTTCTCACAGGCAAGAAATTTATTGCGCTCCCGGGAGAGGTTCACCAACCCCTGTGGGGGTCGAAGTTGCACTTGTTGGGGGATAAGGGCCAGGGGTCTGGCCTGGAGGGAGGTGGAGAATGCAGAGTTGAAGGTGCTTTTTAAAGAAGTTTTTTTCTCCCAGAACTGGTTGTTCTTTTAATGCTGCTTATCAGGGCCTGTGCAAACCATCAGAGCAGGCTCCCAGGATGCAGGTGGCAGCAGTTTCAAGTTCCCCCCTCTACCCCATCTCTGCCCTGGGCACGACCTTACATTTCAACCACTTAGTTACATGATAAAGAGCGAAGTATTGTTTCTGGCTACTTCTTGCTGAGGTGGGGCAGTGTGGGAAGGCGATGTCAAGAAGTAAGGTCAATGGCCAGGTTTGCCGGTAGGGAGGCATGAGTAGGGGTGTAGCAGTGATTGAAGGCAGTGCGGGTCATCTCTCCAAATGTGGTGTTCGATGAACCGGAGCATACAAGTGGCAAGGAGAAAAAATAACAAAATTAGAATTAGTGGTCCCGCCAGTGGGAGTACCCATGCAGCCAGAGGGCTACTCAGCCAGGCCAAGGGGGAGCTGTGTCCCTCACCTGATGCTCAGTTGTTTCCTGGCATAGACTGTTCACATTTGTAGGAACTGCTGCTAGGAGTGGGCATTGAAGAGATGCGCACAGAAAATAGTGAGTGGCGTTGAAAATAAAAAAAATCAAAGAAGCAAGCAGGCAAATGGCGAATGCACAAGTGTGAGGGGATGTGTAACCAGCTGCCCCAGCCAGGATTGAGAAATAGGAGAAAGCTAAGAAAAGTGTCAGTGTTATGCTACTCTAGCCATGACACCTATTGCTGTTTCTGCACATGCTGTTTTCAGCATGTATAGATCCTCACACCAGGACTTTTGCCTGAGAGGTTCCCTATTAACTTTCCCTGTTTCTGCACACTGAGAGGCACAGAACAGTCAAAGCAAAGGATAATCGAGGCAAACACACAGAATAGTTGAGGCACACAATAATACAAGCTCCCACATTTTCCCTTGTTTTTTTTTTTTTTTTTTATAACAGGTCAAAATCAGGAAAATCAGGAGAATAGGAGATAGCAAAGGAAGGGTTTCAAATTGTGATTGTTGTGTGAATCAAGGCCGCTGATGGATGTGAGGCATCTGCACTGGATAGGAGAGGCTCCAGGGACGGGAAACTGGCCCCAGCGCCAGGGGACACGGGTTCTCAGGTTTTGGCACCACATGAAAGGATTGGCATGGTAAAGAAAAGGAAAGCCAGGCTAAGTTTCTCACAGGCAAGAAGTTTATTGTGCTCCTGGGTGAGGTTTTCCAACCCCCATGTGGGTTGGAGAAGTTGCACCTGTTGGGGGATAAGGGCAAGTTTTATAGGATGGGGTCCAGCCTTGGAGGGAGGTGGAGAATGCGGAGATGAAGTTGCTTTCCAAAGAAGTTTTTTCTCTCTCAAAACTGGTTGTTCTTTCAACGCTGCTTATCAAGGCCCCTGCAAACCATCAGAGCCAGCTCCTGGGATGCAGGTGGCAGCAGTTTCAAGTTACACCCCTATACCCCATCTGTGCCCTGGCCTCCACCTTATAAAGGACACCTGTGTTATCTTCTTCTAAGAATGGGTGGCTACTTGGAGAGTCAAGGGTGTGTCCTTGAATCTGTCTGTCTGCCAGAGCTGATTTGTTTGCAAAAAAGAAATCAAAACCTGGTGACGCCCTCTTCTCTTTTAGAAAATTGCTTTTTTGCTAAGAACAGGAAGTCCCAGACTCCAGTCCATCCAAACTACTGCTGAAGCAGCAAAGAGGCAGAAGCACCCAGGGCTGACTTGAAATGGCAACCTTGGTTAAGACCATCCTGGAGAAGTTTCCCACATTGCTGGACCTACAGCTCAAGCATGGCAGCAAGCTGGGCTATGGCTTGGTGAGCCTGCTGACCGCAGGCGGAGAGCGCATCTTCTCCACGGCAGTGTTCCAGTGCCCCTGCCACCCCACCTGGAACCTGCCCTATGGAATGGTTTTCCTTTTGGTGCCTGGGCTGGCGCTCTTCCTCCTGGGCTACGTGCTGAACACAAGCACCTGGCGCCTGACGACCGGCTGCTGCAGGCAGGACTGCAGCCAGTTGTGCACCTGTGGGAGCCAGAGCTGGAAGGAGTTCCTGTGGATCAGCGCCACCTCCTTGGTTGCCCCCCTTTCGTGGGTGGCTGTGGGGCTGCTCGGGGGCACTTTCTACGAGTGCTCCGCCAGCGGGATCCCCTCCTTAGCAAGGCGCTTGTGCCTTGACCGCTATGAAAACTGCTCCAGGTTGATGCCCAAGTTGCCCTGTCTGCGGAACCTAGAGCCGGACCTCCTGAAGGCGCTCCAGGCCCAATCGCAGGTCGGAGCTGGCGCTGAGCGGGCGGGAGGAGTGGAGGAGATGGGCTTCAGGAAATTGGGTGCGAGGCTGACCTGTAAGGCAGAATCGGTGCCTTTTCTCCAGGTATAAGGCACCTGAAGACAAATTCGGACAGTTACTTGCTTCTACTGAGTCCAAAGGTGAACATTTAAATGAAATGAAGGAAAAGGAGGAAAGGTACCTGTGTAGTGAGGCTGTGCCAGAGAGCCCGTTAAGTCCTTTTCTTATCACCTGAGCTGGGTAGTGGCTAGGGGCTCAGAAAGCCAAAGACTGAACCGCTGGGTATTATTGCAAAAGAAGTTTTATTCCAGGTAGCTGAGTGCATGGCAGAGCAAGGCATTCTTGGAATGCCTTCCCCTCTGCTGCCATTTGAAAGAGTATGTAAAGAAGGCATAAGGGGCATCTGGTGCAGGGGATATAACTGGTCTAGTTAGCTGGTGACATTTTCGCTCTGTGGCGTGGGCCATGCTACTCACGCTGTCTGACAAGGTCCGGGCATGGGGGAAATTTCTGAAAAGTCAGAAAACTCCATAGCTGGCTCCTGCTACTTCCTTTCATTTGTTTGTGGCAGTTCTTGAAATCATGGAAATTTTCTATAAGCTTTAGAATAACACAATGAGTGTTGGCATTAGTGCCAGTAATGCACACTTCAGTAGTGTGAGAAATGTACCTTTCAACATGATTGATAATCAAATAATTCCCAGTAATTCTCCACTTCCTCCAATTTGTAATTCAGTTACTATCAGTAACACTGAGTTTTTTTTAACAAGCCACGCTTGATAGAACTGATGGAACTGAGTCGGGCAAAAGTCCCCACTAGAGAAGGCCCTGAGGTGCCCCGGGAGGTGAACTGGCAGGAAAGAAACACATCACATACTGTTCCCATGGCACGGGGACCCTTTGGTTCTATATAGCAAATAGGAAGCCACCCTTGATTTTGCAGTGCCTGCTTAGCTTTCTTTCAGTTACCTTGCTTGAACATATAAATCACGTTGCATATAGCACCTGTTTCTATTTTCTGAATAACATACATCACCGAGGAAAATATATAACCAAGTGACCATATTAATCATAGACTAGGAAAATTAAGAAAGGACTGTGCACTATTAATGATCATTAATAATTTCTGAAACAATGTAAAAGTAAAATCAATCATGATCGCATCATGTAATGATCAAATAATTTCTGATCTATAAATAAAGCCCTGCTGAGGCTATCAGCGGGAGATATCCTCACTCTGATCAAGTGTCAGTGTTTCCTCACTACCTCATCTACCTCACTCCCTCCTCCTCTCATCCCTCCACTTCATTGGCCATCTCCTCCTAGTGGAAACCGGGCCCCTGTCTGAGCTGGAATCCAGCAGCTCTAGAAGTCTTCTTTGTTCTTTAACTGGCCTTAAGGACCCCTAAATGGTTTCTGTGAGCTTAAAAGTGTTGTAGATTACCACTTCAAGGGACAGAGCTTAGGGGAGGGGGGTGTGAGCAGCCCTACACTTTGCCTCCTGTATCTTCTCACAGCCACCCTTTAGAGAGAATACAGGAGTCAGCTAGAAGGCAGAATTATTACAGTAAAGTGGTCTGTGTGTAAAGCCACCGTCCCTCACTGCTTGTGGGATTTTATTATTATTATTTATTTTTTAAACAATGTTTGCTTCCCACAACCCCTCAGATTGAGTCCCCATAGAATTTCCTTCCCCAAGGCACCCACGCACCATCACCACAGTCCCCTGTGCTCCTCCCTCCCTTCCTCTGATCCCTGTCCCTCCTCCTCCCCTGCAGGATGTCTCTGATTTATAATTGTCATTTTTGCTTTGTTGTGTTTCGTACTGTTATTATTTTTTACACTGATGTCTTACTTGGTTTCCCTATATTCCTGTTATAAGTGAAACCATCCAATATTTTTCTTTTTCCTTCTGGCTTATTTCACTGAGCATAATTCCTTCTAGCTCCATCCATGTTGCTGGGAATGGCATGAGTTTATCTGTTTTGATTGCTGAATAATATTCCATTGTGTATATATGCCACATATTCTTGATCCAGTCATTATTTTGGGGCATTTGGGTTGTTTCCAGGTTTTACCTATTGTAAATAGTGCTGCAATAAAAATAGGGGTATAGGTGTTCTTTTGAATCAATGTTTTTGTGTCCTTTGGGTAGATCCCTAGTAGTGGAATTGCCGGGTTGTATGGTAGCTCCATTTTTAGTAGGCTGAGAAAACTCCAGACAGCTTTCCATAGTGGTTGGACCAGTTTGCATTCCCTGTTTGTGAGATTTTGAACCACAATGCTTGTTTCACTGGGTTTGCCAAAAGTGCATATTTTGAGTTCCAGGTCTCCCTGGGGTTTTGCAATGACTTGGAATAGAATTGATTCATCCAGCAAGCAGCTGTACAAAGAAAAGTGTTCTAGAAGTCTTGCCACTCCTTTTTCTTAAGGGATTAAGACACAATTAACTGTGGACTCAAACTTTTTATATAGTATAACTAAACTGCTATTCTGTTTTGTTTTCCGAAGGTGGCTGGCTGGATTCTGATAGCTGTGGTTTGCATTATTCTTATGATTGGTACATCTATTACCTATTGCAGATCTCCAGTTAGTTTTATGCAGCTGAAATTTAGCACCGAGTATGTGATTGAGGAGCAGAAGAGCCTTATAAAAGAAGCCAGAGAGAATGCAGCTGATTTGGCAAATGAGAATGTTAAATGTTTCTTTAAGGGCTCACGTCCACATCACCAGACCCCAAGTGCTGAAGACTGGAAGAATATTTCACCACTCTATACTTTGAATTCAAAGGAGCCATACTATAGCATGTTGCACAAACATGTTAACACGAGAAGGAAGGGTGAAGTGGCTTCTACTTTTAATGTTGGAGAGGCAAAATTTTAAGACAACACTGTATGACCTTATGAATGAATGGGAAAAAAGTTCTTTTGAGCTTCATTTGAAAAAAATTCTGTTTTGTTGATGACTGCTTTCTTTTTTAAGGCTTCCAAACCCTGGAAACATAAGTTTATATTTGAAATAAAAATTTAGAATTTTACCTGGCATTTTGTGGCTTCAAAGTTGTTACTAAACAAAAATAGGAAAATTAATCATGAATATTTTTTAAACATTGAAAAACTAATTAGAGATAATTACAGGCAAAACCTATTATTTTTAGTTTGTAGCATCAAGGGAAATTTTAAAGATTTTTATTACAGTAAATTTCAAATATGCCCCAAAGAGAAAGGATACTCTTATGAATTCCCGTGTAGTCATCACACAGCATAATGTGGGGATGTCAGATGAAACCCATGATGTACAAATAAATATAGAAATAGAAATTGTGACCTGGTTCACTTAAAGGTAAAAGGAGGTTGGGGAAGACTATGAAAAGCTAATGTCTGTAGGGTAGAGCATATTAGGGACAGTATGTGGGACAGTAAGTAAGTAGGAAGATTTAAAGGTGACTGGAAACGGAGCAAGAGACAAATGGTCATGATGGGATATTGGTTTTCATCCTATGAACATTTTAGGAAGATTGATCTGCTTTTCCTGTGGGGAAGGGATAGTGAGGGAAGAGAGAAAACCAAGGCACAATGGAGAGACTAACCAGGAGGCAGTGGAAATAGGTAAGAGTGAAATTTGAACTGGGTTGATGATGATGAAAATGGAAAAAGTAGAGATATTCAAGGTAGCTTAGGAAGTTAGTCATTATGCAATTTGTTGATGGAAAGGATGCAATTAATTTAATGAGAATGACAATTTCTCTAGAAAAAATTCTGTTTCTTGATTTGAGGATATCAGCGGATATTAGATTGTCATTCTTGTTCATCCCCCAAGTTATGGTACTTTTTGTGTGTTTTTTAAAAAAACAATATACATCATGCTTATCATGGTACTTGGCTTAATTACCAGGTATAACTCCCCTTGCCTGTCTCTCTTAGTCCCTTCAGGGAACTAAGCAATAATGAAATGCCATAGACTGGGTAGTTTATAAACAGCAGAAATTTATTTCTCACCACTTTGGAGGCTGGGAAGACCAAGGTCAAGGTGACGTCGGCCAAGGCCCTGTTTCCTAGATGGTTGTCTTTTCATTGTAATTACAGAAGGTGGCAGGGGTGAGAGGTCTCTGTGGAGCCTCTTTTACAAGGCACTATTCCCATTTATGAGGGCTCTCTCCTCATGACCTAAACACTTCCCAAAGGCCCCATCCCCAAATATCATCACACTGGGATTAGATTGGAGGGGACACAAATATTAGTCCATAGCACTGTCACTCAAAGTCCTTAACCTCTTCCTGTTTCCCATTCCAGGCTATCCAGCCTTAATTTTCAGTATTATCCAATATATAACTTCTAATTTAATCAAGCTTTGTGGCCTCTCTACCATACCAATTAAACATGAAAGTTCAGTTACAAGTTTTCTATCAAATGATTATCTTTTCTGTTATTATCCCAGTGTCTGGCTGAAATTATTGGATTGAAAGTATAAGCCACAATAAAAACAAAAACAATGGGATCTTTTTTTTATTTTTATTTTTATATTCCCCATACAATTGCAACCCTGATTTTGACCCCAATCCCTCCTTTCTCCCCCACCTCTAAGAGTGTCTCTGGTTCATAGCTGTTTGTTGATTTTTATATTTTTTTTATTATAGTTATTCTTTTTCCTGGTCCATATTTAGGTTTTCTAGATTCCTGCTATGAGTGAGATCACCCGGTATTTTTCTTTTTCTTTCTGGCTTATTTCGCTGAGCATGATCCCTTCCAGCTCCATCCATGTTGCTGCAAATTGCATGTGTTTATCTTTTTTGAGTGCTGAGTAATATTCCACTGTGTATATGAACCACATCTTCTTGATCCAGTCATCTATTTTTGGGCATTTGGGTTGTTTCCAAAGCTTGGCTATTATAAATTGTGCTGCTATAAACATAGGGGTTTTGGTGCTCTTTGGAATTGATGTTTCTGTGCCCTTTAGGTAAATACCTAGGAGTGGAATTGCTGGATCATATGGAAGCTCTATCTTTAGTAGGTTGAGGAATCTCCACACAGCTCTCCATAGTGGTTGGACCAGTTTGCATTCCCACCAGTAGTGGAGGAGAGTTCCTTTCTCTCCACATCCTGGCCAACATTTGTTGTTGCTAGTTTTTTAATATGCACCATTCTCACTGATGTGAGATGGTATCTCACTGTAGTTTTGATTTGCATTTCTCTGATTGCAAGTGAAGTTGAACATTTTTTCATATGCCTGCTGGTCATTTGTATTTCCTCTTTGGAGAAGTTTCTTTTTAGCTCTTCTGCCCATTTTTTTTTTAAGGAGTTTTTTTTTTTTTTTTTTTTTTTTTTTTTAAGATTTAGGGCCTCCCCTAGTGGCGCAGTGGTTGAGCGCTGGGCTGCGAAGCTGCCCACAGCCTCTGCAGAGCTGGTTCGATCCCCGGCCACCGGGCGAGGGTCCCACATGGCGAGCAGACCTCTCCTGCCACCCGCTGCTCCCCTCAGCAGTGTACTTCGTCAGTCTGCCTGCTCTGCTCTCCCCTCTGGCTCTGGCGAATTCTCTCACTCTCCCGTGCTTCTGACTGTACGCAGTGCTTGTATAAATAAATAAATAAATCTTAAAAAAAAAGATTGATTTATACAAGCACTGGGTACAGTCAGAAGCATGGGAGGGTGAGAGAATTCACTAGAGTGGGAAACAGAACAGATAGACTGACGAAATACACTGCTGAGGGGAGCAGTGTGTGTGGCAGGAGAGGTCTGTCACGCCATGTGGGACCCTCGCCAGCGGCCGGGGTTTGAACTGGCATTGCAGAGGCTGTGGGCAGCTTTGCAGCCCAGCTTCAACCGCTGTGCCACCAGGTGTGGCCCTCTTCTGCCCATCTTTTGACTGGATTATTTTATTTGTTTTTGTTGAGTCTCATCAGCTCTTTGTAGATTTTTGTGATCAGTCCTTTATCATTATTGTTGGGTGCAAAAATTTTCTCCCAGTCGGTGGGGTTTCTCTTTGTTTTGGTTATTGTCTCTCTTGCTGTGCAGAAACTCTTTAATTTGATAGTCCCAGCGGTTGATCTTTGCCTTCACTATCACTGCTTTGGGTGATGTGTCTGTAAAGATGTCTTTGAGGTACATGTCATGTAGTGTTTCGCCTATATTTCCTTCTATATATTTTACAGTTTCAGGTCTTATGTCTAGTTCTTCAATCCATTTTGAGTTGATTTGTGTGCATGGTGTGATGCAGTAGTCAAGCTTCATTCTTTTGCATGTAGTGACCCAGTTTTCCCAGCACCATTTATTGAACAAACTTTCTTTGCTCCAGTGCATATTCTTTGCTCCTTTGTCAAAGATTAGTTGACCATAGTTCTGTGGGTTTATTTATGGGTTTTCTATTCAGTTTCATTGGTCCATGTGTCTATTCTGGGTCCAATACCATGCAGTTTTGATGATTATGGCTTTGTAGTATAGTTTGAAATCTGGGCAAGTGATGCCTCCATTCCCTTCTTTTTTTTTTTTCAGGAGGGCTTTGGCTATTTGGGGTTTTTGATGGCTCCATATGAATTTCACCAATATTTGTTCTATTTCTTTGAAGAATATCTTTGAAATTTTAATTGGAATAGCATTGAATCTGTAAATTGCTTTTGGAAGGAGGGCCATTTTGATAATGTTATTTCTTCCAATCCACAAGCAGGGAATGTCTTTCCATTTCTTTTTGTCTACTTCTATTTCTTTTAACAGTGTTTTATAGTTTTCTTTGTATAGGGCCTTTACTTCTTTTGTTAGGTATATTCCCAAGTATTTGATTTTTTTGTTTTAATAATAAAAGGAATGGTTTTCTTGATTTCTTCTTTAGATTTATTGTTTGTGTATAGGAAGGCTACTGATTTTTGTGTGTTGATTTTGTATCCTGCCACTTCACTAAACTGATTGAGTTGTTTAATTAGTTTTTCTGTGGAGTTTTTTTGGTTCTCTATGTATATTATCATATCATCTGCAAATAGTGATAATTTGCCTTCTTCCTTGCCTATCTGAATTCAATGTACATCTTTCTCTTTTCATTGCTCTGGCTAGGACTTCCAGTATTATATTGAAAAGCAGTGGTGAGAGTGGACATCCTTGTCTTGTTCCAGATCTTAATGGGAATGCTTTCAGCTTTTCACCATTGAGAATGATATTGGCTGTGGGCTTGTCATAAATGGCCTTTATGATGTTGAGGTATGTTCCTTGTATCCCAAGAATTTCAAGGGCCTTTATCATAAATGGGTGTTGTACTTTGTCGAATGCTTTCTCAATATCTATGTATATTATCATATGGTTTTTATATTTCTTTTTGTTGATGTGTTGGATTACATTGATTGATTCAGATGTTGAACCAGCCTTGTGTCCCTGGAATAAATCCTAATTAGTTGTGGTGAATTTTCTTATGGATGCATTGTTGGATTCTGTTTGGCAAGGATTTTGTTGAGGATTTTCGCATCAGTGTTGCAAAAATCAGATTTTTGCATTAATCTCATTGGGGAGATTGGCCTGTAATTTTCTTTTTTTGTGCTGTCTTTGTTTGGTTTTGGTATTAGTGTAATGTTGGCTTTGTAGAACGTATTTGGTAGTATTCCTTCTTTTTCAATTTTTTGAAAGAGTTTGTGTAGTATAGGCACTAATTCACTGCTGAACGTTTGGTAGAATTCATTTGTGAAGCTGTCTGGGTCTGGGCTTTTGTTTTTGTGAGTGCTTTGATTACTGCTTCAATTTTGCTGCTTTTAATTGGTCTGTTTAGTTGTTCTATTTCTTCTCTGTCCAACTTTGGAAGATTATATCATTTTAGGAATTTGTCCATCTCTTCTAGGTTGTTAAATTTGTTCACGTGTAAGTATTCATAGTAATCTCTGATTATTCTTTTGATTTCTACTGAGTCTGTTGTGATTTCTCCTCTTTCATTTATAATTCTATTTATATGTGTTTTCTCCAAAGGTATCTTTTTTAGTGGTATAAAGCAACTAGAAAGTAGGAGAGAAGGAAAAGGCACAAGTTTTGGAATTTGGATTTCAGATAGTAAATTATAATTTTCCTG